GGTGCGCAGCAAGTAAAGCTAATAAAAGAAGCATGCAGTAGGTAAAAAACAAGAAATTCAAAAATACAGAAAAATCTAAAGAAATATTGAGAATTACAAGCAGGAAATTCCAAATTTTTAAAATATTCCAAAAAAAAATTTTCAAAACTTCCAAAAAAGAAATTTCAAATCTCAAAAATACATACATCTTTTTTTCACATTAATAAAAAGAAACCAGCAACAAGAATTGACTCAACATAAAAATGTAAGCTATCGCTGGCCTCATTAATCAATAGTCTAATTATGGCTGTGTTTTCAAAGCATAAAAAACAGGCTATTCAATTTGCATATTTTGCATGATATTCGACTTCAAATGAATCATCCATTTTTATATTTTATCAAATATTTATCACACTTCACAAACAATGCCTTTATGGTTCAAGCTGCTTCCAAAACAATAGAATGGCTTGTCGACAGATATACACTTCCTCATCTAAACTCTCTCAGTGAAGCAGTCAATCAATAACAAAAATCAATCATTTCCCTCGAAAAGATCTTCTTTAGCTGGATTTTGTCCATCGAATTTTCGAAAACCAACAATTACATATACGGGACCGGCATAGAAATCAGACTTCGTTTCAACCTTATAGTTTACTCCAGTCATCGATGATTCATCAAGTAAACGTAGCGTACTTAGCGGAATGTCTGGGAATGTATTACTGCAAAAAAAAAAAATGATATTAACTGCCAACTGTCAAAGATTGAATAGACATATTCAAATTTAAATATAAGTGGAAATTTAATAACCATTAGAATGCTACGTCAGTCATTTGATAAGTTTACGTCTAACGTCACCCACTTTTTTCTGCACGGCTGACACGTTCTGCACGGCTGACACCTCCGACATGCATCAGAAATTTGAATTTATTTGGCACAGTTACATATAAATGCCATTATTATTACTAGTACGCTTACTTTCATTTAATATTATAATACTGAAAAGTTATCACTGATCATAGTCTTATTAGATCAGAGCCGCATTATACCAATATGTCATTCTGAAAATTGGCAATTTGATGGTCTCGCCGAATATTCTAAATATCCTACCTGAATATCTCTTCGCTATCTTCCGGCTCAGTGCCATTGACCACAGTAAAATGGAAGGCTATTACTTGATGACTGTTAAGGAAGAGCAATTCCTCCTGCAGAAAAAGGATAATTTTACACAATTAGTAAAGTTATGACAAGCATATTTTTGATAAGCATTGACAGCACGTGAAGTCACGTAGAAAATGCAGTCAAACCTCAAAAGTTTGAAACTTGACAGGCTTATTCGGCAGTAAAATGTTATCCTTAATAAGAACATGGCTTTACAATATTAATGAATACGAATAAACTAAAGCAAATAAACACATCAAACCTTCCATTTCTCTAACTTTGTTTCCAACGTTTCGTTGTTATCATTTTTATGTACGTGGAGGGCCGATGCGATTACGTCAGATCCGTGGAACATTAACACTATGCCATCCTCTTCCCAGATGTTTTTATCGCTGAAACTGAGATATTTGTTGTAGCAATATAAAAATATTCATCGTTTTTCCATTTGGTCGACACCGACTTGGTTAATTTAATGTTTAGGATTCTATCAAACATTCTGTGAGTGAATATTGGCGTAATCAAAGCCACGTCTCCTCCCATTGTTAATCCACTTTAGATTAATCTCGTAGTCAGGGTACCATTAAGTCTAACTTACACATTACTGCGATTATCCGATTGAGCGACAACACAAATTGGCGCACTGTGGACTTCCTTCCTAATATTTTTGACTGCACGCAATGCCCGAGTTTTAGCGTTTTCATTAGCAGATTTGTCATCGCTACTAATCACAATGACTAACTTCACTGGATCCTAAAATTCATGATTATCTCATTAGGCACCAATGATTTCATCTTTCGAAGTTGGTGGGAAACTCCCGTAGTAAAATCCTATTCATTTTGGCGTATAACATGTATCACATACTGATCGATAAGTTTTGATGAACTTAATATCTTTGAGGGCCAAGCGAATGAATCGCATTTCCACACTGAAAAAAAAAAAAAAACTGTTGCAATTAAGGACAAACATGACAATATCCAATATATCTATTGAATATTTCGGCAGAGTTTTGGCATTGATCTTTTGGAGCAGAATGAATTACATTTCAATTACATTTCTTAATTAAATTGCTTACGCTATCATTTTCTCTGCTTAGTGTTTTTGGACAAAGAGAGATTTCACTGTCACTCAAGTATGATAAACATTTGACAGTGACACTTTTAGGATATTTAAATTAATTATAGAATGTTGGAGCAGAAATTACTCCTTAAGTTGTTCTAAAATAACTAAATTTCAATACCGATTGATTTTAATATAACTTAGACGATTAAAATATTTCATTGTGCTTCTATGAATATAAAGGATACTAACATAGTGATCATTGTCCTCAATATTCCATGTTCGTCTCTTTCTGAATGCAAATTGTATGGGATAATCACTCCATTCATTAGATTTCCTTTCGTTCTATTGGGGCGGAAAGGATAATTTGCTGAAATCACATAATTAGAACTATTTGTTTGTTTAATAGTGGTTAAGTGTCATTCTTCAGTTAAATATAGTAAAGGTATGATGCAAAAATCTATTATAATTTCCTAACCAACTATGTTTTCTTCGAATATTTTTAGATGATCATTCTGAGATGTAACAATCAGAACAGAACAAGACTCGTAAGCTGCGCCAATTCCAACAATCGGTTTTTCGCCGCCGAACAAAATAGCCTGAATTGGTGTCCAGTGGTGTTTCGCGAAATTTCTTTCCTGCTAAAGTTTGAATTTACATCATTGTATCATAAATCTTCGCATTCTGATTTTTGATGATTTTCTTTTTTGCTTAACAATAACAAAGAATGGAACATACCGTTTGACTTGTGAAATTCTTTTGAGATACACGTTCCAAAGCTTCCTTTAAATATTTAAGGGTTATTTTGCCATCGCGGTAATGCAGTATTCTAGATCGACGGTTCAACTCGTAGTTTGCACATTCACACATTGCAGGGATTTTCCTGTAAGATGATATAAACGAATGATCCATTATTATTATTACTAATCAATTCATTGGAATTCAATCATAAACTAATTGCAATTTGTCCTATCTCCTTTAGTAATTAGTAACAGAATTGACGCAATTTGACGGATATGATTTCGACTTTAAGGAATATTTGTAGCGTAATAATATATGAGTAAAAGATAATTGCTAACGCCATATTTTTTAAATCTTCGTCGGATAAGCCAGCAGCAATTTTATCTCCCACTTCTCTACAAGTGAAAGCTTTCTTTAATAGATTGTTAAGATACTGAATTTCATTTTCGTTGTACGTTCGGTCATCTATTTCGCCTGAAATTTCAATTAAATTTTCACTAAAACTTCCCGTTTTTCAGATGTTTCAACAGCAAATGCATCATGCAGTGAAATTCA